TCGCTGCGGTCCGTGGGTCGGTTCTAATAATAAATCAATATCATCCCAGGGGCCACTGAAAACATTCAGTTTGACATAGGTGCATTAGATGTAGTTGTGCAGTCATCTGGAAGCACCAGCTGACCATCCACTGCTCATCTCAACTCATGACTAAAATCCATGCAACACTCTTCCTTTTTCAGCTTCCACCATTTAGTCCTCTGCTCTGCTTTTGCTCTCTTCATCTTCCTCAACGCAAAAGTCATCCTACACACCACCAACCTCTGCTGTCTGGCTACACTCTCACCTACCACCCCTTTGCAGTCCCTGAACCTCCTCATCATCTCTGTTTCCTGCGCCAACATGTCCATTGAAGTCTGCTCCAATCACAACTCTTTCACTTCTTGGGATGTTCTATATCAGTTCATCAAGGTCCAACCAAAATTTCACCTTCTCCTCCAACTCACATCCTCCCTGTGGGGCATACCCACGAACAACATTGAACATTACACCTTCACTTTCTAGCCTCAGACTCATCACTCTATTTGACACTCTCTTTACTTCTCGGACATTTCTCAGAAACTCCTCCTTCAAGATAACTCCGACTCCATTTCTCTTCCTGTCTACACCTTGATAGAACAACTTGAACCCTGATCCTAAGCTTCTAGCAGCCTTGCTACTTTTCCACCTGGTCTCCTGGACACACAGTATGTGGACAGATTTTTTTCCACCGTCTGCGGACCGTGTTCAAAATACACGGCGGTATCCCTGAGACACAGGGAGACTTGTTCAATTCGCATTTAAAACAGCATTTGCTAAACCAAGCACATCCTGATGTTACACAATATGTTAAAAGACATAATTTGAATTGGCCAACATGTCCGATCGATGAGGTTTTGAATTATGCACGGAATTTCGAGCGACTCGAGAACAAGAAAAAGAAGAATGAGAGTCACGTAACCAACATTTATTACGCCGCAAAAAACCCACGCGCACACATGAAAAACACAGGTCCACCTTACAAAAGTAATAAACAAATAAGGTCGTTTGCTCCCTTCAGGTTAACCCCTAGGGACAAAAAACGGTTTGTTGAAGGAAGATGTTTCCTTTGTGGACAAAAGGGTCACATGGTGAAAGAATGCAGACAACAGCGGAAGGACCGGCGCGTGCGGGAGCGTAATAATAACACTAGGTCTTCATCTTCGGATGAGGAGGAATTATGACGAGCACGGAACAAAACAGAGGATGCAGCTGTGGCGGTGGTAAAGCCTTCTGCGCCTTTGTTTGAATCGCCTACCTCAAGTGAGGATGAAGGCGACATCTTAGCCAATAGCAATCATGTTTTCAACACAGAAAACCACCTGCTGAGACGTCAAATCTCTCCCATGACTAAACCGGAAATTACGCTGATGGTCGAAGGAATTCCGACTGTTTTCCTCGTTGACACCGGTGCAGACATCACAGTTCTCGGTCGGTCGGACCGTGATACCGTGAAGCC